CGGCTGGGCTCGGGGCCGGGCGCCGACTGAGCAGGGTGCGGGAGACCTAGGCCTGGCCCCAGCCCCCACTCACCAGGTTGCAGATGTGCACGATGGGGCTCGGCTTTGCGCGGGGGGGTGACGGGAGCTGGGCCGTGCGCACGGGGTCATCGATGGTGATGGAGACGCCCGAGCGCTGCTGGCTGATGGAGCGGCGCGTCAGGGTGTCGCTGAGTGTCACTGCGGGGGACAGAGAGGGGTCAGACAGCCATGGCGGGGCCCTGACTCCCCCAGCCCCTCAAATGCCTCCCTGAACCCTGATCCACCCCCCCCGCTCACTCCCATGGTCTCTGCTTCCCCCAACTGATTCCTGTGACCCCCCCCACCCCACAGGCTGCCCCCCCAGTCCAGGCACCCATGCTCTCCCAGCCCGGCCTTGCCTCACACTCCAGGAACCCCCAGCCCCCCACACTGCCCGGAGCCTGGCCTGGCCTTGCCCCCCAGCCCATCCTGGCCTCGACCCCCATTCCAGGCCCCCGCAGCCCCATAACCCATGCTCCCCCTGCCCCACACACTGCCCCCCCACCTAGCCACCACCACTCCCCCAGGTCAGCCCGGCCTTGCCCCCCACTCCAGGCCCCCCTGCCCCACATGCTGCCCCCCACCCCAGTCCTGACCTTTCTTGACTTCGTGCTCCACAGGTGGGGGCAACGGCAACTCTGCTGTGACCTGGGGGGCCTCAGGCTGCTCTTCCTCAGGCTCCTTCTCCTCCTCCTCTTCCTCCTCGCCCTGCCCGTTCTCCTGCCCCTCGGCTGGCACCACCTGCCGCAGGAGAGAGAACATGTGGGGAATGGGACCCTGGCGACCCGGCAGAGGGGAATGGGACCCCGGTGTCCGGGACGGCAGTGCAGGGCTCTCTGGCTCCCCCGTACCTGTGTGACAGTCCGGCAGATCTTGAGTCCCTTCTCGTGGGCCGGTGGCTCCCCATGGCGCTCCCCCTCATCCTCCGAGATGCGGGAGTCATCGGCGTGCAGATCCACCACCGCCTCCTGCCCCGCCACCGGCTTCATCTCGGGTATCAGGCTCTGCGGGCACCAGGAGAGCAATGGGACCCAGGCGTCCGGGGATACCACCTAGGGTCCACTGCACCAACCCCCCAGCAGGGAGAGCGGGCGAGGGATCCAGGCACGCAGGGACGGCGTGTGCCCCCCATGGGCAGAGGCTGGCAGAGGGAAAGGGACCCTGGTGTCCGGGGCAGGGCCCCCAGCGGGGAGAGCGGGC